TATACGAGAAGGTTTATTCTTTCCCGTACAATGGCGCCGTCTGTGGGAATAATAGACAAGACAAAACCTCTTGATCAAACTTTACCTCTTGAAGAACAATGGCGCACAATAAAGAATTACCACAGTCCGCCATCAACGGGCAAACACCAGATGGGGGGGCCAGGCGTGAAGGACTACCTTCTATCCCTTCCATGGCAGATTTGGAGCCCCAACGACATAACACCAGGAGGGATACTAGGGGAAGACGGACACACAGCCCCCGTCACTCTCGTTCACAAAGTCCTGACAGGCAAATACGGAGGATTGATCCTCAAGTTCTGGAGGACCGCGTGAAGGAGCAAGACGAATTAATAAGGAAGATGGCGGCCGACATGGAAGCCTTGAAGCGCCAGATGAAGAAAAAAGAAGTGGCGACAGGAGAGGGGCGCAAAAACAAGACGCCCCTCTCCACTCAGAAAATCGTAGTAGGAATACCACACCCTCGCAAGGAGAGAGTAGAAGCCTCAGGATAGGCGATACTCAATCCAGGTCTTCCAGAACTCATCACTCCAGGTCTGAGAGGACGAGATCTGAAAGATCATACACTGAAGGAAGCACGTATTGGCCCTCACATACGCACCAAACCAGATCTAGACAGACGGAGTTACCCAGATCATCCGACTTACGAACCGTGCTCGAAGAAAAAGCACGATGCAAGGAGGATGCCAGGGCACGGGATCCACACTGAGTTTCTGCCTTACAGCGGTTGGCTCCTCGGACGCATGGAAGCGTCGAGGTTGGAATGCCAATACCGCGTCGTGCCTACGAACCAACGGACAAAGCATTAGCAAGGCTGCAGACTTCGCCGTTTTGTGTCCAGCGATTGAAAATGCGCCCCTACCATCAGGCTTCCTTTAGCCCAAATTCACTACATATGAAGGAAGACGGACCCCTACTCACACTTGAGCCACTTTCGCCAAGTCATGGCCGTATACAGGCGAAACGAGGCCTTAATGTGCATACTCTTCCCATCTAGCCTTGGCGACCTAGGCTTGACTTGGTTCAAGAAACTTCCAGAGGGCAGCATAGCCTCTTGGGCGCAATTGGCAGAAGCCTTCGTAACAAGGTTCCGAACGAACACTAAACCCCGGTGGAGATTGACCAATTGCTCTCCATCGACATGGGCGATAAAGAAACCCTAAGATCCTACAATAGTCGCTACTGGGAGACATTCAATCAGATTGGGGACTGCCCCACCAATCTCACCATTGCACAGTATAAAAGAGGCCTTCCAATTGGGAACAGACTAAGGGACTCAATCACCATGACACCACCCCTCACCATGGAAGCCTTGATGGAAAGAGTGCATCAGCACATCAGGGTAGAAGAGGATGGCGCGCGCGCCAAAGCAAAATCTGGGGCGCCACAGTACCAGAAAAGAAGACCTCAGCAAAGGTCAACACGGTGGATCGAAGTAACAGAAACGGACGTGACAGACGAGATAACGGAGAAGACCCGGATAAAAGATGGTTGAAAATCCGCGCTGCCATAACCACAGTGTTCAAGAAACCGATATATCGGATTCTGAGCAAAATAAGAGATGAGCCTTTCGTCAAGTGGCCAGCCAAGCTGGGAGAAGCACAGAAAGACTACGACGAAAGATCGCGATGCACCTTCCATAAAGAAAAGGGGCACCGCACTGAGAATTGCACACCATTGAGACAACACCTGGAGGAGTTGGTGGCAGCAGGACATTTGGATAAGTACATTGAATGAGGAATGCAACCAGCTCCCCAGGATCACAATAACCCAACGGGATGCCAGTCGACGCCCCATCTCAAGGCATTATTAATTGTGATACATGGGGTCTTTGAACCTGAGCGTGTATACGAGCTCAGAGGATCAATCAAAAAGGCTGAACACTTAAGAGAGGTGCTAAGTGCCCAACCTGCCACCAAGAAGGGAAAGACAGAGGCAACAAACGTCATGGCTTTTTCAGATAAAGACTTAGGACGGATATATTGCCCTCACAATGATGCCCTGGTCGTCACTCTCCGAGTCAAAGATTTTGACGTCAAGCGGATTCTGATTGACCAGGGAAGTTCATGTGAAATCATGTACTACAAAATATTTAAACAACTGAAGCTACAAGACAAAGACTTGGCGCCTGCTGTATCTCCCCTAATTGGATTCAACTCCATGCCAGAATGGCCCGTCGGCAAAATAATTCTTCCAGTTAGAGCAGGAAGCGTGACGAAACAAGTGGAGTTTTGGGTATTGAAGGTCCCCTCCACTTACAACATCATCTTAGGCAGAACATGGCTGCATGCCATGCGATCGGTGGCGTCATCCTACCACCAAGTAATGCGGTTCCCCAACGACACCGGTGCAATTAAAGAAGTCTATGGAGATCAGATCATGTCAAAGCAATGCTTGTCACGGTGAATGGCAGTCGCGCTGCCAAAAGATACGTTCATTCTTTTTGCACATCTTTTCGTAATTAGCCAAAAAGTCATCCCAAACATACAAGTTTTTTTTACCTACCTTTTTAGCCAAATAGCCAAAAAGTTACTAAATTAGCCTGTTCCCAAACGAGGCCTTAGTCAACAGGATTATACGAGAAGGTGTATTTCTTTCCCGTACATATACCCATTTTGCTAAAGAGGCCTTCCAGTCGGGAATAGACTAAGGGACTCGATCACCATGACGCCACCCCTCACTATGGAAGCCTTGATAGAAAGAGTGCATCAGCACATCAGGGTAGAAGAGGATGGCGCACGCGCCAAAGCAAAATCTGGGGCGCCCACAGTACCAGAAAAGAAGACCTCAGCAAAGGTCAACACGGTGGATCGAAGTAACAGAAACGGACGTGACAGACGAGATAACGGAGAAGACCCGGATAAAAGATGGTTGAAAATCCGCGCTGCCATAACCACAGTGTTCAAGAAACCGATATATCGGATTCTGAGCAAAATAAGAGATGAGCCTTTCGTCAAGTGGCCAGCCAAGCTGGGAGAAGCACAGAAAGACTACGACGAAAGATCGCGATGCACCTTCCATAAAGAAAAGGGGCACCGCACTGAGAATTGCACACCATTGAGACAACACCTGGAGGAGTTGGTGGCAGCAGGACATTTGGATAAGTACATTGAATGAGGAATGCAACCAGCTCCCCAGGATCACAATAACCCCAACGGGATGCCAGTCGACGCCCCATCTCAAGGCATTATTAATGTGATACATGGGGTCTTTGAACCTGAGCGTGTATACGAGCTCAGAGGATC